TTAAAATGTAGGCAACGGCATGAAAAAAGTGGTTTCTACTTTTACTTTTATACTTTAAGTAAATTTACAAGCCTGTACTTTGTTACTTTTACTTGAGGAAAGAAGTTAAATCAGTACTTCCACTTTTACCAGAGTATTTTTTAACACAAGTATCTGTACTTTTACTCAAGTACGGAAAGTGAGTACTTCTGCCAACTCTGCCCTTTTTAAACTCACAATTAATAGTTAAAGTCAGTCAGGGATGAGACGGTTGATTCTACAGCATCACTTAAAATAAATCCACAACTCTCTGAGTTCAACACCTCAAAATGTTTACCATAGAACTACTTTATGACCTGGGGTGGATTATTTTAAAGAAAAAAATAAGCAAGTAAAAACATTTTCCAGTTGTGTAGTTCAACCATTGTAAACTGTGGTATAATGGACAAACCTTCCAAACCAGTAAAATGATATTGAAACTGTGATTGTGGCCTTGTAGCACCTGACGCTGTCAGTTATAAATGAATAAATAGGTGTTTGACATTCATGTATTTGAATTTAATGACAATTATCTTGCTTTTTATCCTTTATATGGAACATAAATTGCAAAACAAAATACTGTCACTGCCTCCTTTAATCACCCCAGATTTGTCAAAGGTCATTCCCTTCCACACAGGCTTAATGAAGAACAAACCTTTGTCCTGGAACACATGAAAGTCAAACTGCCCTTCAACCTCATCCAATTTTCACATATTTTGAGCTGGTTACCATATTTGTCCGGGATCAGCATTTTAAGACAGGATGCCAGAAACCTAGACTTTTTCTAAAATAAAAAATTTAATGGCCACTAGAAACAGAATGCAAACATCCTCAAATGTTATTTTATGTCTTATAAGTTTTATTTCTTTATTACAAATACATTTGCTTTCAAAGGTCCCACAAAGACCAGTTTTGTTTATTTTCAATATAGAATAGTTTTGTTTTGACTGTTATATTGTTAGGATAGGGCATAAACGGTCAGCAACGACCAATTCATTTGTAGAGCAGCTTTTCATTGTTCATTACAGTTTTTAAGGTGAATAAAAACGTCTTGGATTTGACACACGAAAAATAAAGACAGGCTTTTTTTGAGTGGTGTCTGTTCTCTGTCCGGTAAGTGATTTAAAAACCAGTGTTTTTACTAAACATGTGCTACTTCATGCATGCTCTGCCTTTGACTAAAACAGACCAGGCTATTTGTGTTGGCATCAAGATATGCAGCAGCGATTGTGTTCGGAGCGCCCTGCCTCACTCTCCATCTTTTATTTGCCTCCAGTCCCCCGCTGCAGACTCGGGTTACACTCCTCCTTCAGATGGCGTTCTGCCTGGCTGAGCTGCACTTGTGGTCCATGAAGAACTCGCTCCAAGTTAAAGGTGCCACTTATCACCATGTTCAATCTTCCTCCCTCTTATAAAGTCTCTCGTTGTCTCCTTTCTTTTCCAACCCACTCGGTCTTGTTCTGGTGGTTCCTGTCAACAGTCACTTTGTTTTGGCACATTGTCCTCACTTATATCTACTTCAGCAATCTGACACTGACTCTTTCTCCTCATCAGTGATTTCACAGCATTGTGCCTCACTTTCTTTGTTAACAAAGTGTTTTTTTCCATGAATCAGATTTTTAAGACTTAGACAATTTTTATTGTCATTTTTTTATACACTGAGTGTATGAAAACAGAAATTTTGTTTAATACAGCTTTTCAGACAATATATTTATTTTCTTTTTCTTTTTTGAAATCTAGACACACTGAAAAAACTCATCTAAGGATTTTTAAAAATGTCTTTAAAATAAGTTTATTTGTATAGATCTATCATTGGAAAGCATTTTTGTCCTTAAAATAAGACAATTAGATATTATGCACTTGAAATAAGATAGTGGAGTTGTTTTATTTACTTATTTTAAACATAAATCATCTGATTCTTGTCTGGTCAAAACAAGGGAAAATACAGTTAGTTAAAGAAAAATGAAATTAGTTACTTTTTGCTGCCTAAACCCTACTTTTAAACACTATTAGTAATAAATGAATGAATAATTGGCAGCTTGCGAGTTTTCACAGAAATAAATAAGTGTAAATTAGGTGAAAACATTTTATTTTGACCCTTTGTTAACCCCATAGGCGTTTTTAGCCTATTTTTAGGGGTGCTGAAGCAACACTAATTTGAATCAAAGCACCCCTAAAATAAGAGTTTTTTTTTTTTTATATATATACTATATGTGCTTTTTAGAATAAAAAAAAAACAAAGAAAATAAAAAAATGTGACATTGTAAAAACTTTATACATTATTTGGTTATTTAACCCCTTCAATTATGTTCTGGTTCATCAGAAATAATAATAAACAAACAGAAAACAAGTAAAAAAAGCCTGATGGAGCTCTTTAACTAAAATTTTGACAGACTCTTTTATGAAAACGCTGCATTCAGGTGCTTCTTAAATGTTCAGTCAGATTTCTGCACCTATTGATGGTGTGTTGGTGAGATGTTCATCAGCGAGGTGCTCTAATGTGTCTGAGACGGGTTTGTTTGATGATCTTTAAAACCACAACTCAATATTAATACTTTAATTTATGAAATTATTAGTAAATCTTTATAATTTTTTTCAATTTCTAGTTATTTGAATTTACCATCCATTTTATAATTGCATAAAGGGGGAGCAGAGGAGCAGGGTGTGTGCAAAGTGAAAGGTCAGGAAAAACCAAGAACAGAAAGAATAGCAGCAGCTGTTAAACTAGCAAAGAAAACATTTCCTTAAGTAGGTTATTTTCCATATATCATGGAAGTCATTTTGGCACACAATAGAGAAAACTCATTTAATGAAAACTGATTCAAAGGTTTCCATGGAATGAGTTGATTTTAAAGCTCTAATTGGTTGGAATATTCTTCTAAAAAATGCCTTGCTCGTAGGGTTTTTGGCACACATCTCAGATACGATGCATTAGTGAATGATGGAGGCAGTGAACAAGTTTCAAAAATATATGCAGAAAACAGTGAAATTAAATTTGTCTGGCCAGATGGCTCTCTGGGTGCTCAGCCCCCCTAAACCTCTGGTCCTAGAATCGCCCCTGGTTACCATTAAATTTAGATAGGACAAACTCAGGACAAAAGACAGCAGATATGTTTATAGCACTACAGAGCATTTTTTGTCTACTTTTCTTTCCAGTTATTTTAATTCGGTCATGCAAAAATGAACCTGGGCTCATAATGAAGTCAGTTTTTTTTTAAACAAAAAAAAAAAGCATACCAACATAACACAACTTACCTGACAAAGAATATAACACATTGTGTGTTAGCTGATGAATGTTGCAACACAATAGGTGTAGCTAAACACAAGAAAAGTACCGTTTGATTTGTTAGTAGACTAAATACTAATTAAGGAAGCCTAAAATATTACATTTTAGATGTAAATCTTTAGCGTAATGCAGAAATGCGTCTCTCAAAGAATGTCCTCTTCCCCTCCTTAGCAGCAGCTGATGGTGCGCTCCAGTTTACCCTTCTTGTCTCATTGGGTTTGCATGAATAAAAACTATAAATATACATCACAATAATGTTCACCGTAAAAAAAAAACGACATAAATGATTTTAAATTTATATTTTTTCACAGAAGCAAAAAGTAAATATATTTTTCCCTGTAACTCATCTATCTGTACTAAAAAAAGCTTCTTTTTGTTTGTTTTCTATTTAGAAGCAATAGAAAACTGTCAGCCTGCTTTCCTTTCAGGTTGTTTTAGTTGAACTTTTTTTGTCAGTTTTTTTTATTTATTTTTTATGATCCTGTGTAAACCGCCTATCGGTCCATCTCTTCTGTCAAACAGGAAACTCTGTTTTTTTTCTTTTACCTTTCTTTCTTCCATTTTCTTGATTTCTTGCCTCCATTTTGTCCCGTCTTTCACACTCTACTGAGCTTTCGGCAAAGATAGTGTCTCTCAGTGGCCGTCTGTGTGGAAATGTGTGTGCCTATAAAATCTTTGTATCTATGAAAGGCTGTATATCTCAGATGATGGTGACACATTCCTTTCTGTTTGTTTTCCTGCTGTGTTTTGTCTGCTATCTTAAAGAAAACGGAGAAAGAAGACCTGGTCGCCAGAGTGTGACACTCCCTATCTTTACCTTCCCTACATCATTCTGAAATCAAAAATATAAATAGAAAAAAGCATCTTGCTATGCTTTAATGACGTTTGTTTTGTTGCAACCAGTAACCGTAATTAGACAGAAAAAGGATTTATACATAACCTTAATTTAGATGAGGTTCCTGAAAGAGATTTAAACTTGTAGCTCTTACTCATTGGACAGAATCAGCACAAATAAAATCCAGTTAATTAGAATTTAAGTAAATATCATTTTGAATATACTACACAGTTTTATACTGTAAATACCTTTGTTCTCCTCTTCTTGTACATCTAACAATGTAGGGCTGTGCTGGCTGCTCTAGATGGTCAGATTTCCAGTTTCTGACAGGCTATCAAGGAACAGTTCGAAGAGATTCCTGTAGAGTTAGGCCTATAGTTAAAATTATATTTTAAAGGGTCCTAGTCACGACGTAATGCAAGTTTATTTTATATAGCACAATTCTATTCAAAGTGCATGAGAATAAAAAGAAAATGACATAGCAGAGGCATAAAGGCATCACAATTAGCCTAAATTAAAGACAAAAAATGAATGGTTGGATGATTTTATTAAAAAAACAAGACTTCAAACAAGAATTCAAGGTTAGACTGATAGCTCAACTAATAATGTTCCCGTACCTCTGTCAAAGTCCACAAAAATTTGAAGCAATTTTTCAGAGCTTTTACAGTTTTCTTGGAGTTTAAAGTCACAGGGAAATCATATTTAAAAGTCAAATAATTCTGGCTTAAATATGTATATAAATGTACTCTTTATCAGACTATATTGTCCCAAAATTTTGAAAATTTCTATTAAAAAAATCCTGTCTTAAAATCTGTGGGGGGGTTTTCATTATCTTATGCAGGCCACTTAGTTATACAGTACGTCAGCCTGAACACCTAAATTCAGCCAATCATATATCAACGGTCATCTGTCAATCAAATTATATTAGTCATAGCATCCTGATTCATATTTTGCAGCTAATGTATGCAATAGTTGAAATCAGAAATGGGAATCATTTCCTTTCCCACTGAGTTCCGTCCCAGTGCTCACGGGGATGGACGTCTGTGTCTTCGGCAGGCGTAGAGCTAACAGAACTGGCAGCGTTGCGAGGCAAGGGCTCAAACATGTACGGCTG